GCTTCATCACCTGGGGAAAAAAAATATTCTAGGAAGACATTTTTAGGGCCATGTCCACGGTGGGCACTGATTAAAGGTTCATTGAATCATTCAATGAATAAAATGAGTCTGTAGGTTGTGGTGGTAACTCAAGGAAGCAATGAAGTTGCTCCTGGTCCCCTTAGCTCCACCTGCAAGGGGTGCGCTCCTGCTTCAGGGCGACGCACACCCTCTCCCTGAACCTTCAGGACCGAGGGGCAGCAGAAGGGGCCAGGGCACAGGCGGGACTAGTGCCCAGCGGGGTGGGTGCCCCAGTCCAAGGTTAGCTGGACTGCAGGGCGGGAAGGAGGCATCCAGAGCAGAGGAAGGTGGCAGAGATTTTCTAGGAAGCCCGGGAACCACTTCCACAGAGCGCTTTGCATACATTTACATGGCAAAGAATATTCTTTGCCTGTTGTGTTCCAGAGGCTCCGATTCCAAGGAGACCAAAATGCCAGACGACGTGACTCAGGAGCTGGAGTGTGCCTGCCTTCAGGATCCAGGAGGGGAGTGGGCAGGAAGGGGCTGCAGGGAAGGGTTAGGCTGGAGTCGGCTCCCTCCTCACCCCAGGGATGACCAACCATCCTGGTTTGTCCAGAACTGAAGGGTATTTAGGGACGCAGGAATTTTAGTGCTAAAACTAGGCAAGTCCTGTGCGTCCCTCCTCCACCCTGACAGTACATGGCTGCACTGCAGGCTGCCAGGCTGTCATGTCCTGTGTCAGGACATTGTGGCCACGATTGACTGAGCACCAGCTGTGTGCCCTGTGCATTCAGGAAATCTTCCTTTACGAAGAGACAAAAAGAGGAGACAGTCCAGGGGAGTCCAGTTTCTGGTGTCAACAGTCAATATTCTCTCCCTACTGCATCCGCGCCCTGATGTGAATTCTCATACCTACAGGCCAGTGACTCAGAGGACAGGAGACCCAGGAGCTCAGTCTCCTGGCCCAGAGGAGGGGGGATCGGTGTGGTTGGACAGTCAGAGAGGAGAGATGGGAAGAAGGATGTCAGGAGGAACCAGTTTGAAAAGGGGGGTTCACAGTTTGCCCCCAATAACTTTCGGGAGCCAGCCAAACTTAGGGAGAGATGCACCCAACAACAACGTTAATGAACTTGGCACAGGATGGAGTAGGGGATCCCTAGAGCTTGAGTGATGCTGATAGGACAGAGGAAACT